GCCGAGCAAGATGGTGAGTGTCAGTTGAGTATTTATACTTGAATTAGGATAAAAACGTGTTAATGTAAACGGTTTAAGGCTTATTTAGTATATTTGTAGAGAGAGTTCAGGCTAGATATATATTAATTGATGGATGGACTACAAGGTTTGCATATCAGAAGTAAAATGCACAAGATGTACAGGATGATTTGATAACCCGATTATGGTTCGCCCTACAAACTAACTAGTTGATAAAATATTTAAGTCACATGGAACAAAAATTTCTACCTCCAGTAATCATACTTCGACTATTGTCATGAACTTCAGTCTGTGTTGGAGTTAATTCGACACTTATGCTTTCAGTTTACAGGAGATTTGCTTGGCGAAAAAACGACACTACGTTATAATAATTACCAGTTATTAAATGATGGATTTTAAACCAGTAGTTTTATCAATTACATCGACCACACTACATGACAATTAATTCCTGAAAATGATTTATGACGATGTTGAAAAGCCAACACGAGTAACTAGTTGCAGTGTTTGTTGAGCATTCGCTAATGGAAAACCAGTAGCGCTTTTTTCTATGCCTAATAACTTTGATACCTCAAAATCTGTCCATATTCAACAATTTCGAAATGTCATAAATTCAAAAGGGGTTGATAAACACTAGTGAAGCTCATTTATTTGATTACATTACAAACCTTGATGGAAATATTCACTCATTTGGTGTAATCTTTAATAATGCACTTCAGACTTTCTATTTTGAACAGTTATCTGGCTAACAACTATTCAACAGTTAAGTTACTACATTGGTGCAGTACGGTTATATCACAAGGTGGTAAATTTCTTATCACCTATGGTCCTAACCATGTTGAACGTTTGCCCAGACGACGAATTTCATAGCCAAATACATAACCCGGATACATACAGAAATGATGAATATAGTGGATTTGGTGAAGATTTTAGCGATGGTATGAATAGTCAAATCCGAATGTTATAAAGATGACATGACGCAAAATTATTTGTAAGCCATATTAACGTACGAGTTGATGTACAATCATAAACAAATTAACAATCAAATATAGGATTCACGCATGACATTCAAGGAATGATCGGATATAGATGAATTACACCACGTTTCCGTAATAAGTACAATGGTTGGATTTACAAGGAATAAAAGAGTTTTAAGATGAATAATTTTATTAGACAGAGAGCGGGCATTGAACGAAAGAATAAGAAATTCAGAGTCATCATAGTGAAGCAGGTTGGAGTATAAATCGCAATTGGTAGTTCCATGAATACTCATAGGATTAGCTAAGGTAAGAGTTGTGTTGCGAGGGGAAATAGATTCAACCACTTTGTCATCATGTGAAATATGTGTACCGTTGCCGACAGGAAAGCCGGCGGAATTACAAAAAAAGTTTTCTCATTGCTGTTGGATCTAACATCTGATAAGGGCATAGTGTACATATTGGGAGCCGGACCAAGAAGGCTATCAGGTCTATGGTTTTGACCAAGTGGCCAATTACAATTCAGATAACTATTTATACCTGACGTATGGGTAACGTGTTTAAGACGTTTATTTCCAAGGGTTGTGGTCGATTTCGGCTTCTTCATATGTTGGAGGGGATTGTGTACTGTTAAACATACTTGCGATGGTTTGCGAGGTTCGAATATATCAACGTTAAGTGCGTGGTCAGTTATATGGATGTTATGATTAGTTTTCCTGTTATCCGTTGCACAGTTACTGTAACTGGGTGTTGCACTAACAGGGGTTTGGATTGTGTTATCCCATTCTTCATCAGCACAACTACTTCCGGTTGAATCTAAGTCAACATTCTCAAGAGGATGGACACCACCTACATCGGAATTACTTTCTTCTGGGTTTTGAACTTTAGGAGATTCAGAAGAGTTTTTCGGTGACGCCAAAATTGTTAAGCTAGACGTCCCCTTAGAATCGGACTTAACTTTACGACCATTAGGATTACGATGCGTTTGAGAGTTTGACGCTGGTGTTCGGTAGTTATCTCTTCCTGCTTTTCGCTGGCATGGTGTTTTATCCGGAAGAGTCTTAATATCCTTGAAAATCTGTTTTTGTCTCAATGAATTGGAGGAATTTAAAAATTCACTGGCGTCTACAGATGAGTTGAATTTGAACAAGATCGGTGAGTGCATACCAGGATGACTTCTTTTTAATCTTGTGCATACACATGGTACGTGTGTCATATTGCTGACTAGATTTGATATTTTTAAGGGCATGTGTATCCGGTATATTAAATACAATTGCATTGCTAGATCGTCTTATTCTTTCAAATACCTCTGATGCAACACGATCTAGGAAAATATTTATGTCATTCATTTGATCTGGAGTCTCTGTGAGGTTGGGGTTGATGAGATATTTAAGCGGGTTGAGAATGTTCATGTCTACTTGCAACTTTTTTATAGCATCCATATGGTTGCAGTTGCGATTATCATCACTGTTTACCATCAGAGTTTTCAACATGTCTGGAATGGAGACAACTGGTAAAAGCTTGTCTGCTTCCAGATGAACGGAGTGGCTCGTCTCGTTGAAACTGTTGGAAATCGTGTCAGTAGTGGTGTTAAATTGTGTCGTTTTCCTACGTTTGGCTGGACGCCTAGAAGCAGGGGTCTTCATTTTCTTTTGTGGCATGATAAGAAAGTGACGTATAGCAAGTGGATTGAACAGAATGTTGGAAATAGAAAGGGGTGAAAAAAAATCAATTCCGAGGGCTCAAGTTAGTCTAAAAATCAAAATCTATGTTTTAACCAAGGGTCAATTTATCGTGAGGATTAGTGGTGTTAAAAACAGATGACAATGGCAGGAAGATAGTAGTGGAGATGAAGTATTTATGTCAGTATCTGTGTGGAGGCAAAATAGAATATAAAGGAGCAAGTTGTATAAATTTTAACACATACGGCATGAAAGATAGCCTTATATAGCAAAGTAATTTAGAAATGTCAATAATTAGTAACAAACAACCAAAAAAGTACGGTACGTGATACTTATAAAAACTGAAAGTCCGTATTAGTAAAAATTGGGAGGTGCAGAGACAAGTAGTTTAGAAGATTATTACCGTCTAAGATTATTATGTTGCTTCTTGAACAAATATATTAAACAGCTTTTTGGAAAAAAAAAATACTGTCAAAAAAACTATGACAGACTTACTGAATTGGACAGGTAGCTTCGAAAATTAAATGATTTATAGTATCCAAATACGATTTAAATGATAGTTCATAAAATGGTGAATACAGTCCTTTAACATACACGGTTATATATATTTCTTGATATTAGGTAGAGGTTTGAATAGATCCTGTAGATACATAAAGTACGTGGGTTAAAGTATTCAAATACGATATAACCATATATTCCTTAAGGAATAGAATACAGATATGAAATACAAATCTTCGTCAAATATGATTATATATGGTTTCAAAGTGACAGAGTATAGTTTGATCGTATAGTCAAAATGAATATATGTAATTAGATTATTATGAATTATTGTATGAATATGGTCATAAATATCGTAAGTTAAACTCAGAACTTATCATATGGCATGAAATTCACAGTTTATATGTTAATAGTTAAGAATAGAGTTAACTTCTGTAATTCCAAGAAAAAATAATTCATCCAGCTCTGCGAGAATCCTAGAAAAATAAAACTAAAAACCTCGGCCTGAAAGTAACGTCCTGTCCGTAGCGCGCGCGACAACGTTGTTTCGAAATGAGGCAAGCATTGCTCGCACTCGTCGAGGGAACTTGGACAATAAAAATGACCAAACGGTCCATAGTCGGAGGTCCGTTGGCCAATGACCGCCCTCATTTATGACATCACGCTTGCCACTGAACCGTGTTATAGATCGATCTTATTGAGCAGTTGATCCAACCTTCGTCGATCGATTAGTTCTCTGCATCTGGGAAGAGACCTTTTTAGAGTTTTGTAAGATTACGAAATATCTCTAGGGAACACTAGTTGTGACGTACCTGTTCAATTTGAACGGTAGTGCCTTCACTACCGTGATGAATTGTGAACGTGGATCGGTCACGCCGTGCTTCTGGAAGTCAGCTTCCGAGTAGCAGGACCAGCCTCCTATTTTGTTGGGCCAGAATGGCATTAGCTGGGATGACAGTGGCCTAAGAGTCTTGATCTTGAGTAACCTGGGAGTCTGTTCGGTCATGACGAATATAAAGCATAGCAATGAACAAGAAGAAAAATCAGTAAACACGTAAAAAATTATCGAAGCATATAAAAATCAAAGTACAGAAATGATATATAAAGTTCCAATAAGGAACACTCTTACAGTTTACAAATAGGTATATCAGATTTCGTCGGGCTCAACACTGAAAATGTCACAAGTATTTTGAGTCTGACAATACCTTAACTGGTAACACTTATAATCAAAACGAGCCAACCCAGTTAAATCAGGAGTCAGAAGCAAAGAGTTTAGAAGATATGTTTGATAAGCTATCGATTTATCGAAAAGTGACTGATATGAGCTGACCAGAGGTTGTCGAAGAAGTCGGGCACGGCATACCCACTCATGATCTAATGCAGATGCGTGACAAAGCGGCCTCAACTAAGTGAGTCCATTAAAACTAATGCGGTCAGCATCAATTTTCGAAGACTGACCTATTTACCGCTACACTCATATGAGGCAAATATATAGTTGAGAAATTTTTAAATCATATCCGAATCGAACAGAAGGTTCAAGTTGTTCTGATAATAAAAGACAGAGGATGAGGTTAGTTAACACTCACTCCTCAAGGAATTCAGCCGGTCGTGAAAGTAGATGTATTTTGTGTGGACTTCAGTGAATCATTTGATGTGTGACATAACAAGCTACTAGTGAATTTGAAATATCTGGAAATTTTCGGACCTCTATTAAAGTGAACTAGATTAGTACCACTGAAGACTGAAGTTAGAGAATGAGCTTCATTGTTTGAATTACTTAGTGAACGAACTTTAAAGGGTTTGCGTTACGGCATTACGTGTACGCATCATGGGTCTGACAATCTCATCGGTCTTCCAAAGATTATTTGGGAAGAAGTCCATGAGGATTTTAATGAGTGAGAAAGACCAGTTTATCTTTTTGTGCTATTATTGTGTATCAGACCTTTCAGTGACAACATGCCTGATATAAGTGCTGTTTTTCTGTATATCGAGGTTCAGCTGGTTATCTTATTGTTATTAACGTATGTAAACTTTTAGTTACACTCCGTTATTTGCTTCAGACCATTAGTTAATGCTCCTCTGTAGAACCGAGTCAGAAACTGTATACACATAGGATACAGGTTGTTGAGCATTTTCGCCTAGTACTTATTTCACTGACTTAAGAGCTTTCTGAGTAACCGTTCAGTGTTGACATTAGTTTCCCTAGCCCTTTAACGCATAGAATTTGGTTCAGGAACGTACATGTTTCACATGGTCCCTTATTACGCCGGACAAATTCTCCTAGTATTAATATAGATTAGAAGTGCCAAATTGCTTTGTACGTTGTGTAGTATTCCACACCAGCTTTAGACATATATGTAGTTAGGCGTATGCCTATGTTTTTGACACTACACGAGTAAATTAATGGTTAAATACCTACACCACGCTAGCCGTGTTACCTTCGTACCACATGACATTTTCTATTTGGCAAATGTGAACAAGTTTTGTGTCAGGTGTCTTTTTATGGGGAAGTGTGGGTATATTTCACGGTGGTTGCACAGTAGCTTGAGTAGACTACGCTAATCACTACTTGTGTGACTGCACCATCTATCGTATCTAGGTAATAACGCAATGTGAAACTCGCATATTATCTGGAACAGTCGACTTCCAAGTAGTAAGTCTCATTCAATCACCTTTCCAGTTGCTTCGTGAGTATCATTATTTTCTATACAAACTGTGACTTAGGTCCAAGTGTATAATACCATATTTTATCAGTTGTTTGTTTATGGCGATCACTTGTTTTCATTTCTGTTCTATGGGTTGAAAGTAATTTAATTTCTGAAGTTCAAGAACCTTAAAATTAACATTGTAGATATTAATTAGATATAAAAATACGTTGTCTTTAATATAAACAGATAAACACTTGTCTTGCTATGCATCACAAACTTGGTTACAAGTCATGTAAACCTTTAAAATCATCTACGAGTTTATATATTTGACCTTTTACCACATTGATGTAAAACTTTTCAGTGTCACGTAGTCCAAATGAAGGTAAAATAGATCTTATGACCAATCGGATAACACCTCGATGTGTGTGAAAGTTGTGTGTGTGTATCTACTCTCAATCACCAAGTCGGATAAGATTTTCTTTAAACGTTTTTCTGGAAATCCATCTGGTTTGGCACACTTCAACTAAAAGCTTGTAATGTCTTCCATTTTGTTTTTTTATTTTTAACCTCGGTTGTTTTGTCCATGTACCTTTACCACATAAATTAATCTGTTTTGATTTTTACAGTCGGACTTGATGCTGCAGGGAAAACGACAATACTGTACAAGCTTAAGTTGGGTGAAGTAGTCACAACAATTCCAACAATTGGATTCAATGTAGAAACTGTAGAGTACAAAAATATTAACTTCACAGTATGGGATGTAGGTGGTCAAGATAAAATTCGACGCCTATGGAGACATTATTTCCAGAATACACAAGTAAATTTGATGTGTTTATCACAATACGTTCCAGGGTCTCATATTTGTGGTTGATAGCAATGATCGTGATCGTATCAGTGAATCTGCTGAGGAATTGAATAAAATGCTTTTGGAGGATGAACTACGAGATGTTGTTATTTTAGTTTTTGCAAATAAACAAGATTTACCGAATGCTATGTCTACTGCGGAAGTTGCTGAAAAGTTGCGTTTACGCGATATTCGAAATAGACCTGTAAGTGGATAAGTTGAATTTTTTGTCACTCCTTTATTAACATGTAGTTATGTAGTTTTATTCACTTTACCGTGTAGCGCAGCTGATTTTTGTTCAGTATTACTATCTGTGAATCAACGTATATGAAATAAAAGACTAGGATAGAACCGTCCAATGTGATTCTAAAGTGTTTTTGCTGAATATAAGATTAGAAGTTAAGATCACGTACCATTTTATTTTGGAAACAAGCAATATTTAAGTGTGTTTCAACGATATCAGCAGTAGCCGTTTTAATACCAGATGGTGAATTGTATAATCTCGTTAAGTAACACGTTTCGAATAGACTAATCAGGTAAAAGTTTTTCAAACTGTATATCACTTCTCCACAAATGCAGTTTTTAAAATGAATTGCAATGTATATAGATCATAAGTACATTTTACTTAATCGCTAGGGAACTAACTTTTAATGGCTATCTGTATGCTTCATTTGTCTCTATTAGCAAAAGTTCATCCTGCTCCGTTTCACTAGTCTTGCCTATCATGTCAGATAAATTTAGTCTTTGCATTTCTTTGGTTCAGACGTCCAACATACTACTAAACCATCAGCCAACTCCGCGTGTTGCCGTAGACGGTGGTTGGACATGCGTATTACATGTCCTAACCATTATGTAGTATACTTTCTGACCACTCGATGATCCTATCATGCATGAGAAATTAGTGCATAGTATTTATTTTCAAATACTAGTAACCTACGAGTGTTCTCCATGTTCAGAAGCCGTGTTTCATAACTGTAAAGTAGAGCTGAGTGAATTAGCTGTCGATATATTCGTCGTTTCGGTTGGCAGGTAAACACCCCATATACTGCAAGTAATGTACGTCGGCACAAGTCAACTGAGCTTTCTAAACTGGTGTCGAGATTTCATCAGACCCACTTACCAGTGCTGATGATACTCACGAGTAAACTGATTGATGTGCTCAGCCACTTCAGTATTTTATGTATTTCGCTCAACAAACTTAAAGGAGCAATCTTTGATCCTGATTGTCTTACTACTACAGTAAAGGTTCACCCAAACTTGATAAGATTTATTTTTCATTGGTAGTAAATTCTACAGATAAGCCATAATTCAATTCTTATTCACAAACTACATAACCATATAGTTTAAGTTATGTACATCACTAATGTACATATCGCGTTGTTTTGTTTCTTTTAAAAACTATGGTCTTAATTTAGTGGCATATACAACTTGCTTGTGCTACTCAAGGTGAAGGACTATTCGAAGGATTAGACTGGCTATCAAATGAGTTATCTAAACGATCCTAGGATGTGAAAAACTTTCCATATTATTATTATTATTATCATTATTTATTTGGAACGAAATTACAGGTGTTTATCACCATTCTGTAAAAAAATACTGTTGTTGTGATTTTCTGTTCATGTTGCCTTTTTAATAATCCCCCTTTTTTTTCTCCCCTGACGATTATATTATGACCTATGACTATGAAGAATGAGAGATTTTTTGTGGTGCATATTTCCCCCCATGTATATGTGTGCGTGTGTGTGTATGTATGTATGTATAATGACTGGTTGAGTTTTGATCATTTTTCAATGAATAATGATAGGATCTATGTTTCCATCCCTAATGATGGTGTTCCTATGCGATGGTTTACTAAAATTACTATTTTCGATTATTTCCCATATTAATTTTCTATAATATTTTACTTATATAAATATATATACATATACATTTGTATTTTGTGTGCACATATCTTTTAGAATATAGACTATAGGTAAAAAGAGGTAATGGGTATCTATGGTCATTCTTTAATCATAGTGCTTGTTTTTTTAATCCATTCCTTTTTTCTAAATTATAATTCGACTTTTACATGGTTGTTGTTGTTGTTTTCTCTTTCGCTTATGCTCTGTTGGAGAATATAAATGTGTTTAGAGTGTATACTAGTTATTCTGTGCAGTCACAATTGATTAATCACTGGGTAGTGATCAATTTCATGCTTGTCTAGTCCTTATTAGTGCAGATCGAATGCTATCGATCATGTTCCAATGCGGCCACTAGTCTAGGTGATTCGACACTGCGGGCACTACATATTAAGATTAGATTGTGAATACTTCGAGCAACCATAGGTTACTGCTTCCAAATGCCCTGGTACGATCGAGAGTGGGGAGATTAAGCCCTCCTCGAAATGCTTTCACATGGCTATGTACAATCAGAATCAGTCACAATGTCGTAGGTGCATATACTCTCTGTCCTCCCTTAAACCGTGAGATTAAAATTGCTTTATATCATTCTTTCTACGAACTAATTCTTTCTTCCTGTGCTATATCCTTATTGCAATCTTTCTTTTATATATTACCACCTCTGAATTAACTACTTTTATGAATCCGGTGTCCATCTTGTGTTAATGAGGTATGGCAACTTGGACGGATGCATATATGTGCCTGGTCCTACGTTGTAACTGACTGACTGGCGACGCACATACAGCCACTGTCAGGGAAGTCCTACTGATTGCATTCTAGCGGTGGGAGTGTTGTCTACGAAAGTGAGAGAACGAAAAGCGGATGTCCGGCGCTTTAACCGGGTTGGTAGATACAAAGGGTTCACCTAGGGGAGTTGGAAAACCCTAATTTCAAACCAGTGGGGCATGTGGGCTCCAGGATCCTGAAGGAACAAATAGCGTATGAACTTGTTGGTCACCGGCTGCCACGGGACTGCACCTTCTGACGTTGTTTCACTACCTTGTTGATTAGACGTCAAGGTCAACGACTCGCGAAGTGGCTCCCTAAGAAAACCACATGCTTCAGTTTGGGATTCCGGTCAGTATTCTAGCCCTCACACAGATCGAGTGACTTATGTAGCGCATATGTACTTGGTGCCTCCTTGTACCAATATTTGTGTGTTTAAATGAAAATAAAAAACAGTTCGATTAAGTAACAGTTGCTGCTTAGGATTCATTCCAATTTTTATTGTAAACATGCTGATATGTATCTCTGTACTTAACCGCATTTCATATCAATACATCAAGAGTAAAAATGGATTTCCTTTTCCCTTGTATTAGAAGGAGACAAGCAGACAGGTAATATGTTCGATAATTATAATGAATAGACCAGTGTTAGTTCATTTATCCTAACATGCTATTGTCATATTCTGATATGTCAATTGTTTATTAATCTTGAATTTTGGTTATTGCACGAGATCTTATATTCTAGCTTGCAAACTGAAATGATCAGCAGTTGAGACATTTGTTTTTCGAGCGTAGTGTCCGTAAAAAATTAGCAACAATCTAAGTTGTATTTCTCATGAAGGTTTTATTTTCGACTCCATGTTGTAGTTGATTGGTGCCTGAAAAGATGTTAAAAATAGTTCCCATATTATGGCATATGAGTGTTTAATTCTTAATGAATCCATTCTAAACACATAAGGAGTTATACCAACATACTTAGGTCATGTAGCATTGTTTGTTTAGTTAACGCCTATTATTGGTTAGATCATTGTATTGGATTTATTTATCCATGGATTACATATGATCTAGCGGTGACTTAATGATTTGAGTTACAGCCCCGAATTCTGCTACACCAATATCTGCTATGAAGTCAGGGTAGTAATATTACTTAGCTTCAGACAAACAATGTCAGTCGAAGTCGTATACATTATGAATTTGTACTTGAAATACACCATGTTTTATTGAGTCGACTTAAGACATAATCAATATACAATCCGGTATAAACAACCATCAGCATAAGACGTCAAACCGCATCAGACGGCATAATGAAATTACCAAGAGGAATAGCAACATAGTCGAAATAATAATGGCATCAATGATAGTGCCAAAGATTACTCATTACAGAATACATTTCAAAAAGAAGTGATGAATTTGCAAAAGAGAGTATTAAAAACAGCATTGATAAAGCTCAAAATTTAGAAGATGGAGAATCAATACAGCTGACCACTTCTAAACAGTTTCATCCGTCTACAACCGTTGATTTTACTGCCCCTAACTAGAGTAGAAATTCAACACAGCTCAATCAAACAGTAATTGATTTTAACGATTATTAGGGTGGCTTGTTTTATTTCTTTCTCCAAACAACATTGTATCAAGGTAGATGGTAGTTAGTGATACATTAGACTTTCCAATTTACCTCGATTGATAGTGGTTAAGAGTCTTTTCGATCATACATTTGAACAAGATTCAAAGTGCACAATTACTCTTATAGGGAAAATGGATATGATCAGTAATTAACAGTTAACACTGAATCAGATTTATATCAGTTTACTTGTTTATATGCATGAAATAAGCTCATACGATCTGGTATAGTGTTACTAGTCAAGTAATTTGGATTCACAAGATCCATCTGATGTTAATCAACATATGCTCACTAGTGATTGGCTTCAAGAGGTATATCCTGGAGTTCTAGTGAGAAGCAGTGACCAGTAGAGTTCAACCAGGTCTGTCGTGAGATAGTAACTCACTGAAGACAATGGTGAATGTGTCGCTCAATCTCGTGGATTAGTTGAAGTTAGACATTAACACCGTGTGATCCCGGCTGGCTTAATGGTCTGGCGGATAAGTGCTCGCGCACGAAACCAGTAGGTCCGGAGTCCGAACCTCGCAGGGGGCGAGGTCGTGGATGCGTACTGCTGAGGATTCGCACAATAGGACGAAACGGCCGTCCAGTGCTTCCAAGTTTTCCATGGTGGTTTAGCTTCAACTGACTCATGATCTTAACCATTGAAATTTGGATATGTTTACAGAAAAGAGGGAAAAGGGAATGTACAACCTTGTATCCATGTAAAAGTAATCCAATGTTAAAATAAGATCAATTTTTGTTTTAAAACTGATATTCCGACCTATAGATTTGATGAAAGTATGAAGTTAGAGATCAAATGTCAACATGTTTACAATGAAAAAGTGTTTCACACTTCAGTAATATGGAAGGGATGTTTAATTATCCAATAGATCTACTCAACAGACGTACCAGTTCATTTAAACAACGAGTATTTGCAGGTTATCTTATTTGGTTCAATGAATTTACTTCGCCGATTATCCTCTTTTATTATTGAACACAGTAATTATATGGTATGTTAAAAATAGAAGTTCAGTCTTAGACTAGTTCATACTTTAATGATCAGAAAGGGGTTTTATGGATACTATAGTAAGTCTTAGGTTCGAATCTCGTGAGGCGGGATCATGGATGAGTGTTGATGAGGAGTTCGAAACTAGGACGAAATGGCTGGCCAGTGCTTCCAGGTTTTCCATGGTGGTCTAATTTCACTTGACTCATGAATTTAACTATTACAATACGATAATTAAGAATTCGATACAATAATGACTAGTGATGAATACCATAGTATGAGTGTTAAATTATTTCAGATGACTATCTATCTCATATTTTAGGTTATCACATTTTTCAAAGAAATCGTAATCCACTACATCAACATTCTGTTGGTAGATCATGATATATGATAACAAGTTGGTGTGATATTGCCCTAGTTATACTTAAATTAACATCCCTGATGCTTCCGCCGCCCTGGATTCAGTGAGCTGATGTGTTAACATCTACTGCCTCATATTCTAAAGCCCCAATCGTGATATAGGAAAAGATAGATGTGCCCATGCATCCATATATATATATATTAAAGCATTGGACGACCGTTTCGTCCTAGTATGGGACTCCTCAACATTGCGCATGCACGGTCCCGCCCCGCGAGATTCTTAAGATTCCCTGATCTTCATGCAAAATTCGACTATTTTTACAGTCGAACGTATTGTTCAAATGTCGCAACATGTTTGACAATGGTATGTCCACGTCCTTTAATACTTATACCTGAGAAAATGAAGAACCACTTCAATTCTTACGACGCAAAATAAGAACATCAAGACTGGTACAAATGAAGAATTATTAGACCTCAAAACACGACGATAACGATGCTAGTCGCAAATACACTCATCTATATATTGATTATACACCCGTTGTAGCGCATGAGAACACAAGTGTTGACAATCAAATGTGTTAGAACACAAACTTACAGAACATCTTAATAAACTCTGAGAAACATACAGTAAATAATTCATTTGCAAATTGTCAATCAATCGTCTCAGGCTTCATTGTTCTATTATCACATCAATCATTTACTGTCCTCATTCTCTTTTATTCGATCTTCTTAACATTCTGCCGCCAGGCATTTCAATTTCGATTGACGATACGTACTACTTGTATTTGTCGACAACAGTAGCACACAGCACACCGTTTCGATTTTTATTTAGAATGAAGTCACATCTAAAGAAAATACCCAGAGTACTAACAAA